ATCTCCAACATCCCCTTTCATGGCCTCTTGAGTTTAACCAGCTTCAAAACACACACTTGTGATAAAACTCAACTCCCAACCATCTTGATGTCATCGTAGTATCAAACCTGATACAACTACTTAGCAAACTCCATTAACATGTTAAGAAACATCACCAACATGTTAACTCGACAGAATCTTCATAAGCTCCACCACTTACGAACTTCTCCAATCATATAGTATCTTTTGTGGCTTATGTCTTAACCATAAAACTATTGCAGTGACGGAACAATAACTCTGCAAAGCTTGATTCTCTTGCTAGCCTCTAGGATTTTCTCATGTGCACTGAGATCAAAATCCTTCGAACATACTTGAATCATATGCAGAAAACCCGAATCATATTAGCCTCTAACCTGAAGCTCTTTGATTCAACCTGTAACCAATCTCACCAACAGCCAATCCACTCTAGAACCTGAGATTTACCATTACAGCAACCTGTATGAACAAACCATCCTGAACACAACCCTTGTTCAACCGTCTTGTTAAAACAGAACACCCACCAGCAGATTTTAACCACTACCAGCAACCTTAAACATTGTTTCATAACCAAATAACCAGTGATACACCTGAAACAATTCCATTTGGCAACTAATGCATCAACTCCAAATTCCTAAAGTACTTCTTGATGCACTTCCTATTGTAGAAACAGCCTGCATCACTTTCACTTGTGTGCAACTGCACCAAAAAACTTGGTACCCACATCATTATCAAATTTCATACTTAAACCAGAGCCTTCTTCTTCATTATCATCGCATGATACTTGAAGATGATACATACATATCTTCTTATGATGCAAACAAACAACTTGAACCTCCATAGCTGTTCTTCTTCCAAATGTAGTTGATTTTCTTGCATTTGCATCCTTTATAGGACCTCCAAAGTTGCAGACACCAGCCATGAGATAAGTTGTTTATCAAGCCAGATACACAACAATTTCACTTTCTTGAAGTGAGTATTCCTGAAGCAGTTCCTGCTTCTTCATGTAATCTACTGAACCACTTTAACAACTTCATCTCAGCCTAAACTTGGTGTATTTTCTCTGAAACTTTCACAGAAACCTGCAACTTTGTAATGAGAACTTGCAATCTGTTCCTCAAAACCTGCAATTTCTCCCCGTTGATAAATAATCTGTTCTTGACTTGTATCTTCTTAGCACACTGAACTTCCATGAAACAGATACAACAATGACTACTGCAGCCTTTTTTTAACTCATTCATGTTGAGCCAATCATACCCACATCG